AGTGAGTACTGTGAAGAAGAAAAAAGCAGAATATTTAGGTAGGGGGTGAGAAGGGTGTGGGTTGTGGCAGGGAAAAAAGAGAAAAGTATTATAAGGCTTGGCTAGGAAAAACCAATCTGAAGAGCTGACATCTGAATTGAGACATGAGTGTTGAGAAGAAGTCAGCCATAAATTCCAGATGGAGGGAACAAGCTTGGTATATTCAAGGAATGACAAGAGTACCAGGTCATGAGGTGAGCAAAGCTCATAGGGATTTGTAATCTTATAGCCACGCAATGGCAAGTGAATGAAGGAACATGATAAACACTGAGTTTTGTTTATTTGTAAATTTTTCTTTTGCATCAGTTCCTTCATAGCTAGAGACAAGATGAACCATTTTAAAGAATGACTGCTTTGCTGTTTTCTCCTAGTGTCCTAAGAAACCTTGCCTTATAAAAACCATGCTTCCATCCCTTCTCTTTGTTCAGAAAGACCTTCTCCAATTTTTATTTCCTTTCTTCACAAAATTTACTGAAGAAATACAGATTATTTCTTTTATGTGTTTTCATCATAAGCTTTTCAAAGAGAATGAAAATGCCAAGGAAATAGCTAATACAGTAATTATATATTTTGAAGCAAATGCTGCCTCTCTGTGTTGTGATAGATTCAGATCATTGTGAACAGATTAACCTATCTTAAGCCTCAGTTTTCTCCTCTATAATATATGGAGGTGACTATTATTTATCTTGGAAGATTATGTGAAATCATCAATGTGAAGTGTTTAGCACAGTGCTAACTCATGGAATAGATGTTTATGGAGTACTTACTGTTACATTACCATGCAGATCTTCACTGTTTTCGGTCACCTCCTAGTCAACCTTTTCTGCAAACTTATTTGAGTAGTCCCAATAAACTTTTATGCCAGCTTTCCCCGTCCATTCATGTCACTGATCAAATATCTTTTTCTCCAGTGTCTAGCTCAAAGACACTTTATGTTTATGAGACCATATTTTGGTAACAAAAATGCCAGGAGTCAGTGGTCTATTAAAAACCTACCACTAACTCAGGTTCCTGTTAAGCTCTTGACAAATCCTATATATATGGTGTAGCTACACCAAAGATTCCACAACATGGATGAAAATGTCTGAGTACGTAGCCTTGATCTCCTGAGCTGCATTTGGCCAATCTCCAGTCATTAGTTTTTATCTAATTAGTGACATTCCTGCCACATAGGGTTCATAGAGCACAGAATGTGTCCACATTCTGCCTGTGAAAACCCACTTTGTTCTCAACCTGCAAAAAGGCAACCTCTGCTTTTCATTTCTTTACAGTGTCATTTTGAATCTAATTGTTCTACCTACCTCCCTCTCCTTTCTCCCTTCCCCTTTCTTCTGTCCTTCTTTCTTTACTTCCATTCCCCCCTTCCTTCCTCGTAAAAGGAAGAAGGATGCACCTTGGGAATTGGTCTGAGAGAAGGAAACTAGCCTCATCACCTGAACTGAATCTAGAAGTTTTCTTCAAACTCAAGAATGATTTGCTTCAGAAAGCTAACCTTACTATGGTCCTCTGGGAAAACCAGGACCATCCCACTACTACATTCTAGTTTCTGCTATTTTCCTTGCCTAGAATGCTTTTTCCTTTTCTTCCTTCCTTCAAGACTAATCTCAAATCTCACCTTTCCACTAAATCTTACTAACTCAGGACCTGACTGATCCCCTCCTACTTCCCTGTGTTGTATTCTTTTTGCTATTTAATTCATATTACTGAACCTGGTACATACCTTTAAAGGCTTGTTTCCCCAATTAAAGTTTAAGTTTACTCAGAGCAGTGATTGTGTCATATACATTTTTAGTATATGTTTCCATCTCTCCCCACCCCAACCATAATCCTGCTTTTTAAACACTTGAACATTCCTTCTTCCTTGGGGATAAGGGCATGTTAGCAAAGTTGTGTAACTTTTTGAGCTAAACCAAAGGCAACTGAATAGACAACTGTATATTTTGTAACATTATTGAGACCACATGGGCTAACACTTAGAAAGTTGTTACTGTTAGAAGCCTGTCTACAATAATAGATTGAAGCTAATTTGAATGCCTTGGTCCATACCCTGTTTCGTCCCAAATTTCCAAGTGACTTTAGAATTTGAGTATGAGCATCCAAGGCACATCTGTGGAAGAGTCAAGCCAATCCTTTTTTAAAAATTAGGCTTTTTGTGTCTTCTGTTATATGCATTTGATTCATTTAGCATCTCATTTATATCACCACCAGAAGACAAAGAATGAATGCTGTTCATTCAGGTTTTATTTTTTGGTGATAGTTTTATCAATTTGGTTACAGAAATAGGGAAGCTGATGCCTAAAGAAATTCAGAAACTGTGATTTCCTTTATCCATTCCTTCACTTCATGAGTTAATGACAAACCATAAAAACAGATTAATGCATAAAAGAAAGATCACTGTGTATACTCAGAAGAAAATAATTGCTAAAAAATGGGGTTTTAAAAAATAAAGAGGATAATAGCTAGTGAGCTCTGTTATATAAACCAAAGAATATCATTGAAATCTTAAATAAACAGGCCATCCAACAGAGGAAGACATCTATACTCGGTAACTGCATCCTGCTATGTACAAGTTTAAAAAGAAAGAAGAGAAGACAGTGCTGAGTGAGGAACCTTGTATACCTGGATGTGCTCTATTAAAAGAGGCGCTTGATTGCTCAGTAATTGCAGAGCTAGGCTCTTGGGGAGGCTTTTGTCATCCCTCCTTGGCTGACACCAGACGATAGTGTGGCTCTGTGATAAGAAACAGAGGACCAGTGTCTCCATGGTAACTAACTGAGCTCTATATATTATACCTCATTACAAATGAGGATAGATAGTAAAATATATATATATACACAGTGAATATGTGTGTGTGTGTATGTATGTGTGTATATGTATATATATCCTGTCTTCTATCTAAAAAGTGAGTAGAATAAAAAAAAATAAAAATGTGATTACATTGAAAGGATAGGGTTGATAGACCTTTTTTCCCTATTGGTGCAGGTAAATATTTCATTTTTCAGTTCCTCTGATGGTTTTTTTCTGAACCCACCCAGCTGTAGCTTGAAAGATTAATGATGGGCAGCAAAAGAACCTGAGAAGAGGCAGTGAGTGAATAGAAACCAGCACTAGAGAAGAAAGAGTACTGCCTGGCCTTTGGGACAAATAAATAAGGATTTACTAACTCCTCTAGTTTCATCCCCATAGCAGGAAAACCTGGAACCCATTAGAATGGAAATCTAGAGACTTTTATAACATAATGATTCCTAGAGTTCCAAACTTACACAGACTAGTGACAAGAAAAAAAGAAAGAGGGAAGGAAAATCAACAGTTCCCTTCTAATTTCCTCTTCTGTAGGTATTGATTTTACTTTAACATAACTAACTTTACTATGCCTCTCCTCACATAAGACCATTACACCTATGTGTAGATCTTTATAAGGTTAAACACACTTCCTGAAAACTTAGCTTGCCTGTGTCATGCGTTTTAAAGAAAAAGACCAAGTTAAAGAAGTCAACAGTGAATAAACTATTAACACTAGAAATTAAAACTTTGTATTCAAGACACAGAATGCAAATATTTGGTCAGAGAACAAAGACCCAGGAGCTTTTTGCAGCTGTTGTATTAACTTCTATATATTAGTCTATCATTAGATAAATGACTTTAAGCTCTGAAGTAAGGACCCTTAGTAGCCCCGCAGGAATTTCTGTTGATCCTTTAGGTTTGTTCCTTTCCTACTTCTGTTTCTTTCTCACTCACTCTTAATTTCTGAACAAGTATTTGGGTCATTGCTAGAAAGGACATAAATATATTTTAAAAACAAAAATAGCTATTTCATCTAATCTAATTTTCTTTTTACAAATTTAATTTTTACGTATTGTATAGAAAACAATGGATTACCATTTGAACACTAAGGGAATAGTTTAAAATAGTCATTTACTTTTCAGACTGTGTTATTAGAAGAACTAGGTACATATGGTGATTTTACAAATCTTGCATTCCGATGCGACTTGTAAATTTTTTTTTAAATATTAAGGGGGACAAAAGTTTTTGTTACATGGATATACACTGTAATGCTTAAGTCAGGATTTTCAGTGTGCCCACCACCAGGACAGTGTTCATTGTACTCCAATAGTTACGTTTTTATCCCCCTTCCTAGTTTCCAATATCCTTTATATTTTTTTTTTTTTGTGCCCATGTGCACCCATAATTTAACTCCTGCTTATTAGTGAGACTATGTGGTGTTTGTTTATCCATTCCTGAGATACTTCATGGTCTCTAGTTCCATCCAAGTTGCTGTGACTGACATTATTTCATTCCTTTCTATGGCTGAGTAGTACTCCATAGTATATATGTACCATATTTTCTTTATCCACTTGTGTATTGATGGGCATTTAGGTTGACTACATATCTTTGCAGTTGTGAATGGTACTGTGATAAACATTCGAGTGCAGGTGTCATTTTGATAAATGATGTCTTTTCTTTTGGGTAGATACCCAGTAGTGGGATTGCTAGATCTAATGGTAGGTCTACTTTTAGCTCTTTGAGGAATCCCTATACTATTTTCCATGGAGGTTGTGCTAATTTGCAGTGACCCCAACAGTATATAAGTGTACCTTTTTCTTTGTACGCACACCAGTATCTGTTGTTTTTTGACTTGTTAATAATGGCCATTATGGTGGGGTGTGGTAGCATCCCATTATGATTTTAATTTTATTTCCCTGATGACTAGTGATATTGAACATTTTTCATATGTATATTGGCCATTTGTCTGCCCTTTTTTGAAAAAATTATGTTCATGTCCTCTGCCCACTTTTTGATGGGGCTTTTTGTTTTTTCCTTGCTATTTTGTTTGAGTTCTTTGTAGATTCTAGAAATTAATCCTTTGTTGGATGTATAGTTTGCAAATATTTTCTCCCATTCTATAGGTTTGCCTGTTTACTCCGTTACTTATATTATGAACATAATTTTCTACCTTTTAGGTCCTTCCTGATTTCTTGTTTCTCCACATGGCTTGTGAAAACTTTTTATGAGAGTCTTCCAAGGTAAGTGCATTGCATGGGGGTGAGAAAGAAGGGAGGGAGAAAACATAGCTATGTATACACAAGAGGAATATGTCCACACATAACTTGTACACAAATGTTCATAGAAGCATTATTCATAATAGCCAAAAGCTGGAAACAATCAAAATGTCTTATCAACTGATGAATAGATAAATATAATGTGGTATATCCTTATGATGGAATATTATTTGGTAATAAAAAGGAAGTACTAATACATAATACAACATGGATGAACCTTGAAAACATTGTGTGAATGGAAGAAGCCAGTGATAAAAGACCTACTTATTACATAATCCCACTTATAGATAATTTTAAAATAGACAAATCCACAGAGTCAGAAAATAAGAGTGGTTACCTAGGGTTTGAAGGGGGCATAGGGAGAAAGATGCTAAAGGATTTGGAGTTTCATTTGGAGATGATGAAAATGTTCTAAAATTGATTGTGGTGATAGTTGCAAAACTCTGTGAATATACTTAAAAAACATTGAATTGGACATTTTAAATGGATGAATTGCATGGCATGAGAATTTTATCTCAAAGTTATAAAAATAAAGGATGTAGGTAGAGAGGAAGATGGTGATCAAAACTAGGATGACCATATGTCCAGATTTGTCATTGCCCAGAATTGTCCCAGTTTTTGCCCAGTGGGCCAATGAATTACTAGTAGCCCTAGTGTGACTTAAAAAATGTCCTATTTAGATGATAGACTATGTGGTCACCATATATATTACCAAAAGTATATGACTTCTGTTATGTATCTTAGAGTTACCCAAATTACCAGTTGGGGTTCTTTTGCAGGTAAAAATTCCTATGTCTCTCCCATGGATTCTAATTCAGTAGGTCAGGGGTGGAAACTAGTATTTTGTATTTTTAACAATTATCTTGGTGATTCTTACAAATTTTTGGCATTCATTGTTCTACTTGTTTATAAAAGGAAGGGAACAAATTATCTTTGTGGGCACATAGAATTCCAGGGAGGTATGGGTGATAGAATGAGATCCTATCTCTTAAAAAAAGAGAGATTTTTATCTTTCTTATTGATCTGTAGTTTAAAAAGTATATATTTTAGGATATGAATTCTTTATTGGATATGTGTATTGCAAATATCTTCTTCCAGCCTGTGGCTTTTTTTTTTCTCTCGTAATGGTGTCTGTTGATGAATACAAGTTCTTAATTTTAATATAGTCATACTAATCAGTTTTTCCCTTTATGTTAGATGTTTTTATGTCCTGTTTAAAAAACCTTTGTCTATCATAAGTTCTTTTGTAATATTTCAGTGGCTTTATTTTAAAGTTTAAATCTTTAATCCATTGAGAATTTATTTTAATAAGTGATAATATGAAGTAAGGATCCAATTTTATTTTTTTCCAAATGTTCTTTCTGTTGTCCAGAAAAATTTCTTAAATAATAATATTTTAAGTGCCATCTTTAGGGGATTTGTAATCACAATGATCATAAGTTATGGTATGTAACACTTAGAAATGTTCAATAAAATAGTAAAACACCAAATGACACAGGTTGTCTCAGAAATGGATAAATATCTCTGTGAGCCAAATATAGAACAGAAAAGCAAAAAAGTGAGTGGAGCTGAAATTAGTGGCATTCTGTGTTGTGGATCTTTTTTTTTTTTTTTTAAAGGGCAGTGGTTGCTGGGAGTTGAGCTTCTGTGAGATAAGGAGTGAAAGGTTCCATATGAGCAAGAGGTGTGAATCCCAATTTCCTCATGAAACCAGGGGCTGGAGTAAGGGATCTTCTTATGAAAGAAGGCTGGGGTGAGGAGGTGGGAGTTTCTGGTCACTCCACTGGACTGTGACTTTCAGAAAACTTCAGGGTACATTTGAAGGAAGATACATCCTCATAACCAGAATAGAAGTGAGCTGCCTATGAGTTTCGTGACAGTATCAGGGTTACCTCTGATATTAACTTGGGACAGGAATCCTAAAATGCCATTATCTGACCTCATTCTGAATTGGAATATCAGGGTTTGGGTTAAGGTAAACACAAAACTACCTGACCAGAGCCTGGATTGAATAGACAGGAAGGAGAAAAAACAGTAAGGCCCAAATTCCATGCTTATGGATCAGGTATTCTTTAAGCCCCTGGATAGTGGTGCTGACTGAGGCCCTCAGGGAAAGAAAGGCAAACCTACATCTGGAATAGATATCAATTCCTGTGAGGGAAAAAGAAAAAACAAAACCACTGACCCTTCCAGGAGGAAAGGAGCTCAATGTAATCACCTTTCCATCTAATGGCTGGTTGTCTCATTGGTGATTCAACATTGGCTTCTCTTGCTGGCCAGTTTGCACATTCAGAGACAACAGTAGCTCGATCAGCCTTGTTGAATGAGAGTTAATACTGCTGAGCTCATGTATGGCCTCCATCTCTGCCTCCGTGGTCACTTCATTCATGGGCCATCATGCTAGGGTGGCCAGTGACAAAAACTGGCTAAGTTTTACCTCACCAGATCATTTGTTTGCTTGATTGTTTAATGCTCCTTCCATCATAGATGCTTCCTGGTGAGCATTAATGTGTGATACAAAGATCTTCACACTTCATGCTTGTTCTCATAGGCATATCCATATGCCTCTACCCCAGAATTCCTTGTCTCTGTATCTTTGAATCTTCCAGGATTCTGACCAGTAGGCCAGGCCATGTGTCACTGCCCATTAGTCCATGTATATTCTTGTCACAAGCCACTTTTCTTTCCACATAAAGTGGATGACCATTGCCTAAAGCTCTGGCCACTGGGAAGATTTTTCCTCTGCACTGTTTCAAGGCCACTCCTCAATGACGTTGTAATGCAGCTGCCATCCATTTTTGGCTTTAGTCTAACCTATCAAAATTGAGGCTTTATCCACCTCTTTCGCATGGTTGTACATATGTGTATTGTATATAGTTGTGTGTGCATAGATTATACATGGCCATAGGTGTGAACTGAGGCAAGGGCTCTGGTGAACTATGGTGAATGATATGGGGATCTGTTCCTGCTCAAGATTATCCTGTATGTAGCATTTCTATCTTATAATGGACTACTGGTGAGCCACCTTAACTTTATGGTGTACTTAGTTCAGCAGTTCCAGACATATGGTCACTAGGTGTCCCATGGTCAAATGTTCCATTTCTGTCAGGTCTCAGTATGATATTAGAAACTGTTTTTTAAAAGTCATCTAATTTTATTCTGCAGATATCATGACCTTGCTCCAGGCCCCCAGGGTCTATGTTGTGATTCTTCCTCTGGAGCTTGCTATATAAACACTGTACTTTTTATCATGACTGATACCTACAGCATCATAGGATCTGCTGGATTGCATGACTCAAGTGGCTGGGCCACTTGCAACACAGCCTGTACCTTCCTATTCTCAGCCCCACTCAAAGCTGGCAGCCTCCTACACAACCTGATAAGTGGCCCAGATCAGTATTCCTGGATATGGAATGTATGGCCTGTAGAACCTAAAGAGGCCTAATAGGCACGTGCCTCTTGCAACTAATGAACATATTGCCTCTTCCTTTCCAATTCAAGACCATACTTTTCTTTCTCCTCCCTAATTGCACCTGCTATTCCCTCTATAAGATGGGTAAAGAATAGTGGTGAAAAGTGAACTTGTGAAAACATTTTGGCTTGGTGCATTTTGAGGGGAAAGGTAACTCTTTGGTAATTAACATTTTTTTCTATAGTAATTTATCCATTTAGATTTGCTCTTTCTTCTGGAAGTACATTTTTATGATTTATATTTTCCTAAAAATACATCTATTTTAATAATGTTTTCAAATATATAGAGTTGAGAAAAATAATGTCATACTTTATTTTATATTTTCTCTGAATCTGTTTTTTCCCCATTCTAATTTTGTTTATTTATGTTTTCTATCTTTCTTTCTTGTTCAGGTTGCTTAATAGCTAAATGTTTTGTTGGTGGCCTTCAATTTCTTGAATTGGAAACTTAAACTTTAAATCTTACGTAACCTAAATTAACATAAATGAGGTTATATATTTTCTTCTGAGCACTATGGTTATCTATAGGGTCTGATAAATGCTTTGTGTTGTCATTTTTTGTTTTAGGAATTGTGTAATTTTGGTTTTGAATTCCTTTTGTCCCAAGAGTTGTTAAGAAAGTTGTAAAAATATTTCCAGGGTGTTTTTCCTCATTTGATCAGAGAATTTTATCTGTACTAGTTTTACCTTTTGGAATTTACTGATTTTTTTTTTTGGAGGGCTAATATAGGAATAATATTTTGTGAATATCCCAAGGTTATTAAAAAGAAAATTGTGTGTGTATAATATAAATATGTATATTAAATATATATTGAAAATATGTATCATGGACTGTTAAATTTTCATTGTGGGTATATTAGTTCTATTGCTGTACAACATATTACCCCCAAATTTAGTAACATCAAATAATAAACATTTAATATTTCATTTTCTTTGGATCAAGAATTCAGGCTCAACTCAGATGTGTCCTCTGAGTCATAGTGTCTCACAAGACTGAAATTATGATGTCAGCCAGGATTGCACTCTTATTAAGCTCAACTGGGGGAGGATCTACTTCCAAGCTTATTCACCCGACTATTGGCAGGCTTTAGGTCCTTACTGGCTGTTTGCCAAAGATGTAGGTTCCTTGAGGTGTGAGCCTCTCCACAGAGCAGATTACAGTGTTACAGTTGGTGTTCCTTAGAGTGAGCAAGGAAAAAAGCCAGTGAGTGAGTGAGCAAGGTGGAAGCCAGAGTCCTTTGGTAACTTAATCTGGGAATTGACATCTCAGCACCTTTGCCACATTCTTACAGTTAGAAGAGAATCACTAAGTCCAGCCTACAGTCAAGAGAAGTGGATTGCCCAGGGCATAAATATGAGAAACAAGGGATTACTGAGGGACCACTATAGTCTTTCTTCTGCCTTCAATGATTCATGTCCCTCACACATGCGAAATACACTCAGCCCCATTTCCAGTCTGCTAAAGTCTAATTCAATCACATCATCAGCTTAGA